TTCTTGGAAATTTCGCAGCATTCATTTCAGTGCAAATAAAAGCTGTCATTGCCGGAGAAATGATACTGATCGAGGTCTGAAAAGACAGCAAATTACCCGCCTGAAAATGCACCGCTGGAAAAAAAATGCATATTAAACACACAAAAAGGCACTTTGCCATCAGCCGCGCTTCCCCCGCCGCTCCAGAATAACCACACTTTACATAATTCTCCCTCTCCACCTTCGAATTAATTTCGCAGACACAGGCAGAGGCAACCCTCTGACAATAGCAGAGGGGAGACGCAGCGGCGGCAGGGGGGAGCAGGGCTGGGGGCTGCTGGGGAGGGTCCTGGTTCTGGGCGGGGTGGGCAGCGGGATGTCAGGGTTGGAGCTGAGGGGGGACTGAGGGGTTTGGGAGGGTTGGGTTGGTGGGTGAGGGTTGTGGTTTCTGGGTGGATTTGCCAAGCTGTGGGATGGAGTGCTCTCCTTCTTCACCCCCTGGGTGCTCAGGATGGGGGTCCTTTGGGGTGCGGTTTGCAGGGCAATGCTTGGGCTAAGTGTTTCCTACAAGGGACAATCCCTCATCCCCTACCCCTGGGGTGAGCCTACCGTGTGCCCATCCCAGAACCTGGCATCCTTCCCGGAGGCAGGCAGGCCCTGGAGGCATGCATGCACCTAGCATGGCAGGGACCCCCATGTGCCCATGTACCCCACTCTCCTACCCACACTGCAGAGCATGTGGGTGCACCCAAAGGACACTGCAAGGCCATGCTCTCTGCCCAGGTTGACACACCCAGACTAGCACCCGTCTATGAAACCTCCCAGGAACCTGATCCGTGGGCATGAGGGCACTATGCCCAGCACCCAAGCACTCCCAAGGGGGAGCAGTGGGTGTAGTGGGGGGGTCAAGTGGAGGTGCTGGGGGATTCAGCTTTATGGGTGCTCAGCATCGAGGGGCTGGCAGAGGTGAAGGTGGGCGGCAGAGGTTGGCACCTCGCTGCTTTGCATTTTCAATGACAGACTCATGCCGGGTGCTCGGGAGAGTGGAAAAATCTTATTTGTCACCTGCTGGCGGTGCGCGGAGGCTCCCGCGCCGCGGCTAATCTCGGGGAAAATGAGGATGCTGGGAGGGGGTGGCCTGCGGGGCTGGCAGGGTTGAGTGGGGCTGGCGAGGTGGGTTCTACTCTGGGCCCTGCTCAGGGTTGGAGTCACGAGTAGCAGGGTGGGCAGGACCCCAGGGTTACACGAGTTCTGTGATCCCTGGATGTATTGGCACTGTGGCACAGATCTTACCTGCTGGGGGTGCTGGGCAGTGCTTGTGGGCATGCGGAGCAAGTGCCCTATTCCCTCAGCCATGTCTGTAAAGGCACAACCTCGTCACCTTCCATCCTAGTTTCAGGAGCAGCTGTGTGCTTCCCAGTGCCAACTCCACAGGTTGGCACCGCTCAAGCACCCTCTCAGGGCACTCAGTGGAGATTTTTGGGGGGAGCTGGCATCTGGAAACGGATGCTGTCATTGCCTGATGTCTACACATAAATGCCCATCCCACATCTGCCGTACCCTGGCTTGTTGAGATCCCAAATCCTGCGGGATGCTGCAGCACTCTGCGGCCAGCTCAGATTTATCCATTATTTTATATCCACACGCCTTTAATTTTTATAGCCCTGTTGGAGCAATACCCAGGGCTATTCATAATGCCAGCCCCTCCTCTCCTGTGTGCATCCATCATGCTCCCACCAAGATGCCAAGCAGTTCTTGGAGCTGTGTAAGCACAGGTGCAGGGAGGCCAGTGTGTGACACCCTCCAGCCAGCTCCCCAGTGAGCAGCAGTGGTGGGCAAGTCGTGCCCACCCACCAATCAGCCTGGGTCCAGGTGTCCTTGCACCCCACTAGAGCTGGGCTGATTTGGGTGCCCAAGCTGGGAATGTCTGGTGCGATTCACAGAGCCCTTGTGCCCTGGCGTGCGCCACAGGAAAACTTTGCTGCAACACCCAAGTATGTGTGTGTGAGCATGCATGGGTGTGCCAGAGTACATGTGCCTGTAATGGGAGCTGGATAGCAGTGCGTGTTTGAGCCTCTGTGTGTGAGGCACAACATGTGTGTCTGTACTGGTCATGTTGGTGTACATGTGGTGTACATGTGTGCCACTACCTGTGCATGTGATGTTGCCTGTCTCAATGCTTCTGTAGACAACTTGCCAAGGCTGTGTCCTGCACCCCAGCACAGAAGAGTGCAGCCTCAGTTGCGCAGGCAGTGAGGGTTGTGCCTGGGACCAGCCCAAGGGACAAGACAGTGGGTCCCACACCATTCAAGCCACCCATCCTGTGCCAAACAGGGCTCTTAACACCATGTGTAGCACAGCACCCAGTGTGTGCTGCCTGGGGCTCTCACTCCAGCACCCAGGACGTCCTAGGGCTGCCCCCCCAAGCTCCCAAAGCTGTGCAGGCATGAGGAGTGAGGGTGGCAGGGCACCCCAGAGTGTGGCAGGCAGGATGGCTCTGTGGAGCTGGAGTATGTGGCCGCCGTGGGCAGTGGGAATTGCTGGGCTACAAATCTCCTTGCTGGGCCCCCCCGTGGCAGAGCAGCTCACGATATTTATGTTGGGGATTTATCTGCAATGCAGTTTAATATTCCCAGACCTTCTCGTGTGTGTGTGTATGTGTGTGTGAGTGCATGGCCCCCTCCCCATGCTACCTTGTGCCACCCCATGCACACCTTCTCACCTGTGGACTCCCAGGTTTCATCTCCTACCCACCCACAGCCCTTTTCCCTTGCCTCCACCCTGGCAGGATGGGACTGCCCCCCCCACCAGGGTGCCCGGGCACTGTGGGGGCTGCTGAGCCGCCGGGATGCTCCTGGCACAGGCCACCGGCCGTGTCCACCCGAGCTCCCCCAGGGTGTCGGGCTGCCGGGTCGTTGCAGAGTGGTCCCCGGACAGGGTTGCCAGGTGGATTGGCACTGCCAGCCCTGTGCTAGCCCCCCGCGGCGGGGGAGCCGGGGACCCCCCTGCCTTTCCTCCCCGCCGGCGGGGATGAGGTAAGGCTGGCGGGTGGCACAAGGCTGCTCTATTTGCATAATAATCTCGTTAATGGAGCCTGGCCTGCGGGAGAGCCGGGCTGGAGACACCACCCCCTCCCCGCCCCGCTGCCTCCCTCCGGCCCCGCCGCTCCGCCAGCAGCGGCGCGGGGCGCGGAGCGGAGCGGGGCTCGGAGCAGAGCGGAGCGCGGGGAGTGCAGCCGGGCGGGCAACGCCGAGTCGCCCCGCCAGCAGCCCCGGCCAGCCTGCTGACATCCCCTGAACAAGCCGGTAAGCACCCCCCGAGCATCCCCCTAGCATCCCGGGCAGCGTCCCCGAGCATCCCGGGAGCATCCCCCAAGTGTCTCTGTGAGCAAGCGGTGAGCGACCCCCGAGCACCCGCGGACATCGCGGGCAGCATCCCGGGGAGCATCCCCTGGGCATCCCCCGAGTACCTCGGTGAGCACCTCTCGAGCAGCCCGGGGAGCACTCGCCGAGCCTGCCGGCGAGCACCACGAGAGCATCTCCCTAGCAAAACCTTGAGCATCCTCCCCGAGCACCACAGGCATCATCCCGGCGAGCACCTTCCGAGCATCCCCCAAGCACCCCGGCAGGCATCTCCCTAGCATCCCGGGTAGCATCCTCCAAGCATCCCGGACAGCATCCCCCGTGAATCCTGGGCAGCATTCGCTAGGCACCCCCGAGCATCCCACGAGCATACCTGGCGACATTCCGAGTAGCAACCCCCGAGCATCCCGGTCAGCCCCCGGTCCTCCCCGCCGTGCTGTGCTGCGCTGTGCCTGCTGCCGGCCTCTCAAACTTTCCGGAGGCAGCAGCTCCCCGGCGCCGGCACCATCGGGCTGTGGCGCCGGGGCACAACTTTGCCCGAGTTGCGGAGGCAGCAGGGGCTTCGGGGGCTCCCCGCGGGAAAACCGGCCACCTGCCGAGTGACAATTTTGTCCTCAGCCTGTTCTCTCCCACCTGCAAATCCAGATGCCATCCTGAACCGAGCAAGGCTTGGGGACTATATTTGAAGACCCCCCCATAATCCATCTATGCCCCCACCCTCCTTTTCCATGGGCAGGCAGACAGACCCCTTTGTCCCCGACATGGCACCCCTGCCAGACACCCCTGCCCATTGGGCACCAACCAGCAGAGAGGGGTGGTGGTGGGGATGCAAATGCTGTGAGATGTCCATGGGGTCCAAGGCTCCCCCCAGAGTGGAATTAACTTTGCTCACACGTCATGCACCACACCACAATTTGACACAACGCAATGCAACACGGCACACCACGACCCAACCCAACACAATGCAACACTGTGCTCCATGGTGCAACTTGATGCAATCCAATGCAGGGCCACACAACCCGACCCAACCCACGGCACCCCAACCCAATGCCTTCCCCCCAGATTTTCCCAAAGCACCTCTTTCTAAGTTGCTCACCCCTCTCCTACCCCTCCCAGAGGGACTGGCAGACTTCATCTCCCCCCAGTGCCAGGAAGGGCTCTCCTGGTGCAGTGTGAGGGTGGACTCACTGGATCACCCTGGGTATCCAACTGGTGTGGTGCTCTCCCTGGTGTCCTGAGTGGGTGTCGGGTGTATGGGATGGAGCTGTGCCAGGCGATGAAATCTACCTGGGATTGTGCAGACAGGACCCTGCCCTGTGACCAGAGGGTCTGGAAGAGAGGACAGCTATGGGGTAGAGCTGCCACCCAGCTCCTGGCACTGGAGCCAGTCCCAGTGCCACCAGCAGGGCACACAGGCAGGGATAGCAACACAGGCAGTGATGACGGCAAGAAGCAACCCCCCGGCTTTGCTCCTCCCAAACCCATCCTCAACCACCTCCTCTACCTTTTCCAGGAGCTTCCTGACTCACCCAGCCACCCTCCACCACCTCCCAATAGTGGGCATGGCTCCAGCATGAGCCGTGGGATGCCTGAGCCTGCCCACCTCCTGCCCTGAGACCCCTGCAGTCACGGTGCCTGAGGGAAGCTGCATCCCCAGCCATGGAGAAGACCTACTCGCTGACAGCCCACTATGATGAGTTTCAGGAGGTGAAGTATGTGAGCAAGTACCAGAGTGGCACCCTGCCCAATGGCTTCACCCTACAGCTGGGCACCGGGGCCAAGAAACGTCGTGGGGGGCTGCCGCGCTGGAGCCGCCGGGAGGTCTGCCTGCTCTCGGGGCTGGTGTTCGCCGCTGGGCTCTGTGTCATCTTAACGTGCATGTTAGTTCTCAAGTACCTGGCAGCTGAAGGGGACAGCTACTGCCTGGAGGGGTGCCAGGAGAAGAAGGCCTTCCTACGGGCATCCCGATTCCTCAGCGCCAACATGGATGCCACCATCGACCCCTGCCAGGACTTTTATTCCTTTGCCTGTGGTGGCTGGCTCCGGCGACACGGCATCCCGGAGGACAAGCTGGTGTACGGCACCATCGGGGCCATTGCAGAGCAAAATGAAGCCAAGCTGCAGGCGCTGCTGAGCAGCCCTGTGAGGCGCCGAGCCCCTGCCTCGGCCGAGAGGAAGGTCAAGGAGTTTTTCCGCTCATGCCTGGACCGAGCTGAGATTGACCGGCTGGGTCCGCGGCCCATGCTGGAGGTCATCGGGGAGTGTGGTGGCTGGGATGCCCCTCCGGGCCGTGGAGACATCAATGAGCTGCTCTACAAGACGCAGGGAGTCTACAGTGCTGCGGTGCTCTTCTCCCTTACTGTCAGCCTGGATGAGAGGAACACCTCCCGCTATGTCATCCGGGTGAGGGCACCCTGCCCCTCGGGCCGTCCCCGCCCCAGCCACCCCCCTGCTCCTGTGACACCACTCTGGTGCCACTGTCCTTGTTGCAACGGCACTAGGCAGGTGCCCACTGTGTGGGCTTGCCCGCAGCAGGTAGCCGGGCCGGCGACAGCCCCTGTCCCTGGAGACCCCCCCATCTCCCTACTGCGGAATCCCTGTGTCAGGCTGCCCCGGGGTGAGAGTGGCACCTCCAGGACCAGGGCTGAGGAAAAGGGCAGGGGGATGTACAGAGTGAGACAGTGTTGCCTGGTTGGGTGCTGGGAACAGCCCAGAGGGCACCATGGCTGGTAGCCAAGCCCCTCACCTTGGCGTTTTGGCTACCACCAACTGGTACTCAGGGGCCAAACCCTAAGCAACGATCGGATGCTTGCCAGCCCCACAGCACTGGAACAGGGTGCCAGGGCATTTTTTCATGTCTTTGTCAGCCTTCCCTGCTCCTGCCAGCCCCTGTCCCTCAACCTGCGGTGCGACCAGGGCTTTGTCTGGCTGGGCAAGCCACAAGCTGCTTTTGTGGGTGTGTGGTGGCGGGCATGGCGACGGGCATGGAGGACCATAGTGGGGGCACAGCAATGGCACAGTGGTGGGCATGGAGGGAATATGGGGGTGGGCACAGCAGGGACATGGTGGGAACATGGCGGAGGGCGGGCACGGTGGGGACGAGGTGTTTGGGATGGCGGGAGCAGCGGAGGGCTGCGGTCCCTGTGAGGCGGTGGGCTCCCTGCTCCCTGCAGGGCTGTGCGAGCGGGGCCGCGCTGCCGGGCCGCACGTGTGTACACTAGGGGGAGCGAGTGCCCCAGAGAAAAGGTGCGGGTGTGCGCGGGGTGTGCCGGGGTGTGCCGGGGGAGGTGGGTGCGAGCCGGGGCACGGGGTCGGGGCTTAGCTGGGGGATTGTGTGAGGGCGGGATTGGGAGCGGGTGTGCGATGGGATGTGTGAGGAGCCTGGGAGAGGGTGTTTCATGTGTGCCGGAGGACTGCTTGTGCGGCAGTGCCTTTGTGAGAGGCCAAGAGGGGAGGATTTGTGATGGGGAGGGGGAAAAGAAAGGGGAGAAAGGCTGGAGGTGTCTGTGAACGTGCAGGGCAGCGCTACAGCTGGTGGGATGGGACACAGGGGGTGAGCCAGAGAGAAAAGGGAAGGGTGCGTGTGTGTCTGTGTGTGTGCATTGGGGGGTGTGTGTGTGTGTGTGTGTTAAACTAGATGATGCATGCGTAGCAGGGTGAGCATGCACAGGTGTCTGTTACGAGGGTGGAGTTACAGATACATGTGTGTGTACACATGTACGAGCATGTTCAGGTGTGTGTATGTGTTAGAGGCTGTGCCTGTGCCTGCAGGCCAGCAGTGTGTGTGAGTCTGGGTGTTGAAAGTGGGGGGGACACCCTGAAACAGGGCCCTGCCTTCTGCTCAGCACTCCCAGCCCATTGCATGCTGCCTGCTGCAGCTCCATCACCCTCTGGCAGGAGGGAAACTGGGGTACAGGACCTGTCCATGCCCAAGGCTGACTCCTGGGCCACCAGGGGTCCTGGGGCACCAGGGGCACTCTGCAATATGGGGGAAGGTGAGGGGTGCCTTGATCAGCACAGCCCACCCCAGCTCACCCTCTGCCCCCCATCTCTCCCCTCCCAGATCGACCAGGATGGGCTAACTCTGCCTGAACGGACCCTCTACCTGGGGCAGGATGAGGAGAGTGAGAAGGTGAGGGTGCCATGCCAATGCCCTAGGGACACCAGGAGAGGTACCAGCACCCAGCATTGGGTGGCAAACAAAGGGCACCCCACTGCCAGCAGTGCCAGGAGCTGGGGCGCCCTCAGGGCAGTGCAGGGTGGCACTCAGTATCCCTTCCCTCGGCACAGATCCTGGCTGCATACCGGGTGTTCATGGAGCGGTTGCTCACCCTCCTGGGGGCTGAGCACGTGGAGCAGAAGGCTCAGGAGATCCTGCAGCTGGAGCAGCACCTTGCCAATGTGAGGGGGGTGCCCATCCTGGGCTTTGGTGTGCCCCTGCCCAACCTTGGGCACCCAGTCACAGATCATTGGGGATTTCCATACGTGGTCCTAAGGGACCCTATCCCAATCCCTTTGAAACCCTCATTTCCAGCCCATGGGGACCTTCATGCCTGACCCCTGGGGATCGCATCCTCTTGAGGACCCTGTGACAGGGCCTCAGAGACCCCAGCCCCAACATCTTAAGAACCCCAAGTTCCAGCCCTTGGGGGTCCTCATGTCCAGTCCTTGTGAACCCACTCCAGGCCCTTGAGGCATCCATGCCCAGCTCTTGGGACCCCAGTCTAGGTCCTGGGGGAGCCCTGTGCTCAGTCCTCAGGTACCCAAACTCCTTGGGGACCCTATGACCAACCCCACTGTCAGCAGAAGGTTCCCAGGGCAAGGAGTCAGAAGGACTGTGGGTCAGTAGCCCTGCTTGTCCCAGAGCTGTGCCCCATCCCTGTGCCACTCACAAGGCAGGCAGTGGGATGGTGACAGCCATGCCCACCCCATGCAGATCACAGTGTCTGAGTATGACGATGTGAGGAGGGATGTCAGCAGCATGTACCACAAAGTGACCCTGGGTGAGCTGCAGCGTATCACCCCCACGGTGAGTACCTTTGGTGCCCAGCCTGCCAACCCCATATCCCCATCTGCCCTGTGCCCCACAGATGTCCCCCTGCTCCATGCCCTTGTTGCTTCCCCTGTCCAATAAATCCACTTGAGGATGATGAATCCACCCTGCACTTTTCTGGGTGGGAAGGGGAGGCTGGAAAACCTGGGGGTGGGGGTGTGTCCTTGTGCCTCCGTGACAGTGCCCTGGCAGCTCAAGTGGAAGCGCTTGCTGGACCGCATCTTCAATGACAACTTCTCAGAGGAGGAGGAGGTGGTGCTGCTGGCCACCGACTATATGCACAAGGTGTCTGACCTCATCCGCGTGACGCCCACCAGGTGAGGGGGGCTGGCACCCCCTGTGCCCTGACACCTTCCCCATCCTGGCAGAGGGTTGGAAATTGAGGTGGGCACAGGGTAGCTGTGGCTGGTGCCATTGTCATCCCCCCCCGTCTTGGGGAGGCCAGGCTTGGCAGTGGGGACCCTAGAAAACTCCTGGGCAGAGTCACTGTCTTGAGTACTCTGGTCATGCCCAGCCACCCGCTGAGCCCTGCCATGCTAGAGGTCACCAGACCCATCACACAGCAGGGAGGGACATGGTGCCAGCCTGTTCCTGTTGCCCCCAGAGGCCATGGCCACCTCCATGGCCTGCCTGGACCCTGGTGCATGCTCCCCACCCTCTCTGTGCGCCTGGGACATGACCGGTGTGAGGGTCCTGATCTTGCCCCCCATCACCAGGATTCTTCACAACTACATGCTGTGGCGCATCGTGGTGGTGCTGAGTGAGCACCTCTCCACCCCCTTCCGCGATGCCATCCATGAGCTCTCCAAGGAGATGGAGGGCAATGAGAAGCAGCTTGAGCCAGGCAAGGTCTGCCTGAGCCAGGCTAACAAGCACTTCGGCATGGCCCTGGGCGCCCTTTTCGTCGAGGAGCACTTCTCCTCCGCCAGCAAAGCCAAGGTAGGAGATACTGCCTGTGGGTGCAAAGCCACCACATCCCTCCTGTCACCTTGCTAAGCCCTACCCACTGAGGGCTGTCTGGTGGGGTGATGGGTAGTGAGGACAATGTGCCAGTGCCTGTGGTGACCCGCTGTAGGTACAGCAGCTGGTGGAGGACATTAAATACATCCTGGATCAGCGCATGGATGAGCTGGACTGGATGGATGAGGAAACACGGCGAGCAGCCAGAGCCAAGGTAGCAGCCCCCAGCATGGCCCTGTGCCTTTGCCCCCACCATGGCCCAGGGGCACATGGCATGGGGGCCTTTACTACCCCTCACTCACTTTGCCCACAGCTCCGGTACATGATGGTGATGATCGGGTACCCCGATTTCCTATTGAAACCAGAGGCCATCGACAAGGAGTATGAGGCAAGGGGTGGACTAGGGCGATGAGCGGTCATGGGCATGTGGAGCGGGGAGATTTTCTCCACATCTGCCTCAGAGTCTGTAGAGACCCCAAACAAGCCATCTCCTGGTAGCTGATTTTGCCCACCACTTGCATGGCCACAGGCACTTGGGCAGTGCCATACTGTCCCTGGGGTCTGGGATGATGTCTCCTTCTCCACACCACACTCCCCAGAGCTCAGCTCTGTCCTCAGCAAGGGACACCAGTATGGTCCAGGAGCCCCATGGAGTTGACGGAGATGCAGCTGACCATGGGGGCACAGAGCATGGGACATACTCATGCAGCCACATCCAACTCACGGCCACAACCCTACATCCTCTGTCCCCAAAGCTCATGGGGGTGGAAGGATACCCCAGCCCTACTCCCATACCCTTGGGGCTGGCATTCCTCCTGACATGGCTGTGTCCCCCAGTTTGACGTGGATGAGAAGACCTACTTCAAGAACATCCTCAACAGCATTGCCTTCGGCATCAGGCTCTCAGTGAAGAGGATCCGGCAGGAGGTGGACAAGTCCGCGTGAGTATTCCCTTGCCCTGGAAAGCATGAGGGCACAGTGTGGCTGGTCCCTATGCCCAGTTGTACCCCACAGGGTATAGGCAGGAGGGCACATGGCAAGCCAGGAATACCCCCCGTGTCTGAGCTGCTCAAGGGGGTGGCATTTCCATGCCCAGCCGGAGCCCCTGCAGCCTGGCATCACTCTCTCTCCTTGCAGGTGGCTGCTGCCTCCCCAGGCGTTGAACGCGTATTACCTGCCCAACAAGAACCAGATGGGTGAGACATTGCCCAGCCCCTTGGGGTTCAGCTCCCCAGGCTGCTGAATTTGGGGAGGGCCTGGGGTGGTGGTGGGTATGGTGCAGGAGCCCCTGGCGCTGGGTGATGCTGTGGGTGGGTACAGGGCAAGGTACCGTAACTGCAATGCTCTCCTGTGTCCCCAGTGTTCCCCGCTGGCATCCTGCAGCCCACCCTCTACGACCCTGAGTTCCCGCAGTGAGTATGGGGCTGGAGCATGGCTGGGGGTACCAGGGCAGGGGATGGGGTCACTGCCATCCCTGCCAGCACTTCACCCTCTCACCTCTGGTGCCTGCCTGATAGGTCACTGAACTATGGTGGGATCGGCACCATCATCGGGCACGAGCTGACCCATGGCTACGATGACTGGGGTGAGCACCCCCACACCTCATGCCATGCGGGGCGTGGGTAGGCAGGACACCCGGGTCCCTTGCGGTTACCAGTGGTGGTGGTTGCCTCGGCAGGGGGACAGTATGACCGGCACGGGAACCTGGTGCACTGGTGGACAGAGCAGTCGTACAGCAAGTTCCTGAAGAAGGCACAGTGCATTGTAAACCTCTACGACAACTTCACTGTCTACAATCAGAGGGTGAGGCCTCCCTTGCCCACCGGGCAATGCCCTGGCACACCCTGCCCCATGGCGGGCCCCTGCTGCTCCATCGCTGGGGCTGGGTGCCTGCAAGAGAGCAAGGCTCTGCCCTGAGACCCAGCAACTCATCACAAGTCAGCTGGGAAATTCCTCTGGACACCGGGTGGGAGCAACTGAGGCACAGTCTCGGTCGCAGGGTGGGGATGGGGGGGATGCCTGGAGAGGGGGGTACCTCTGCTTACCCCATCATCTCTCTTGGCAGGTGAATGGCAAACACACACTGGGGGAGAACATTGCTGACATGGGGGGGCTTAAACTCGCCTACTACGTAAGTGTCCCCTCGAGGGGTGTCATGGCCCCGGCAGGGCCGTGGGGTGGCTGCTGATGGCATCACCCCTGCAGCAGGGAGTGGGCAAGATCTGGCTTGCTGATTGCTGGGAGGTTTGCATAGAGGCAATTCAGGGCAGGCCTGGGGGGATGCCCAGGCAGTGTTGAGGGCCACCCTCTGTTCTCCAGGCCTACCAGAAGTGGGTGCGGGAGCATGGCCCAGAGCACCCCCTGCACCACCTGAAATACACACACGACCAGCTCTTCTTCATTGCCTTTGCCCAGGTGAGCCCCTGCCCTTCCCACATGTGGCATGTACTGGTGGAACTGAGGGTGTCACCCTGTGTTTGGCCAGTGGCCCAAAGGGACAGGGCGAGAGCCCTGAGGGGCCTGGTGCCCATGGTCAGGAGTTGGGCTCAGCTCCATCAGCAGGTCCTGGGCTCAGGGTATAGAGCTCAGCCCTGCAAAGATCACCCTGCATTGCCCCATTGTTCCTGCAGACCCTACATAATGAATACATGGCCTACTCATCACCTCCAGAGACCCCACAGTAACAAATGCCTATGACTCCAAGCTTCTAGGAGACCCTACAGCCAGGCAGCTCACAATCCCAGGAGGCCCTACAGTAACAATCATGCCTCCATGCTCTTGCAACGCATCTATACCACACACACAGGCTCCCAGGAGACCCTACATTAACAGCTACAACCAGGGCATTGCTGCCCTAATACCCCAGCAGCATCTATTCCCTGGTGGGTGACGGAACCCAGGATGCCCCATCTGGCTCACCAGTGGGAACCTTTCTCCCCTGCAGAACTGGTGCATCAAGCGGCGATCCCAGTCCATCTACCTCCAGGTGCTGACAGACAAACATGCCCCAGAGCATTACAGGTACTGGTTGGCCCCAGAATGGAGGGGGGATAATGGTGGATGCCAACCTTCCCCATAGCTGGTGGTGCCAAGCAAAGTAGAGTGGGCACCCCTTGGAGTGCTGGCACCAGCAGGCTTTGGGTGGGCATACCTGGGCAAGGGGATGGGTGCTGCTGGGCTGAGCAGGTGCCCAACCGGGGCCCATGGCAGTGTGTGTGTGTGGGGGGCATGGTGTGCCCAGCTTTGTGTTACCTCCTCTCCTGGCAGGGTCCTGGGCAGTGTCTCTCAGTTTGAGGAGTTTGGACGTGTTTTCCACTGCCCCAAAAACTCACCCATGAACCCGGCGCACAAGTGCTCAGTGTGGTGAGGCCAATCCCCCCTCGAAGGCTGGCATCCCCCATCCCCATCCCTGCTGCAGTGCCACACCTCCTCCTCCTACTCTCCAGGCAAAGAGGGCACCCCTGGGTGACATGGAGGGTCATCCTCTGCCCCCAAAGATAGGCACCTGCCAGAGGGGTGGGGGCAGCGTGGAGACATTTGGGGCGAGCATGAGCTCTTGTGTGGATGCAGCTGCCCCCTGCCCATCCCCTTCCTACCCCTGTGCCCTGCATACTATGGGGGTCCTGAGTCCCCACAGAGGAAGGAGGGAATGCCCAGACTCCTGTGTACCCCCTCTTCTGTCCTCCCATACCAAATCCTTCACCCAGCCCTGCCACATCCAGCCCAGCACCAGTCGAAGCAGGGAGAACGAACCAGACACATTGTGGGGCTACCCCACACCAAAAGCCTCCCCCTGCTTGGTGCCCTCTCAGGCACCCCCCATGCCAGCTCCTTCCTGTTCCCGCATCAGCCCTGCCAGCGGGTGGGCAGAGCTTGTGGCCGGGTGATGCCAGCCTGCCCCGGAGCGTGGGGACATGGATGCCTGCTGTATTTGTTGCTGCTGTTTCTGGTCAATAAAGCACTGGATATGCCAGGCGGGTGCAAGAGGCCGCGGTGAGGGCACGGGCAGCAGTGGGCAGCACCCCCAGCCCTGCCTGCACAGCATGGGGACCCACACAGCGCTAACACAGCTGTCTCAGTAGCATCACATTCCATATTTATTAAACACTCAGCACCTGTGCAGGTGGTGTAGGGGCCCCCCATTCCTGGATATGGTGCCTCATGACTGCCATGTCCAGATCAGGGATACTCCAAGAAGTTACCATCCACCTGTGGATGCCGCAGCAGTAGGGAGGGGGGAAAGCAGGGCTGTGGGGTCAGTGGAAGAGGGGCAGGAGGACGGTGGGGAGGAGCAGGGTCAGGAAGGTGGTATGGGCTCCAGTGGCAGAGTTCCGCTGCTGGCAGTCAACATAGGGTTCGAGGCAGGCGGCGTAAGCCATGGCATGGGCCACATAGGTCTGCTCCTGCACCCCGTGGAAGAGGTGGGCCATGGGACCCTTGGCCAGGATGGCCACATCCTCACCACCATGGGACTCCGACTTGAGGGGCACAGCCGCCTGCTGCACGTAGTCGAATTCATCTGGGGAGGGGAAAGGAGGGAGTGAGGGGGATAGCAGTGGCCCACAGCCCTATCCCACCACCCGACCATGATCCCTGTGCCCTCACTGGCTGTGGATTCATTCACGTTGGGCCGAACAGCACCCAGGTAGCCTGGCCCGTTCCCATAGAGGATGGCTGTGTAGCTCTTATTGTCAGCAGCTTTTCTTGGAGCCAGACCTGGGGAGAGGGCAATAGTGGGTAGTCTGCCAAGAAATGCCCATATCATCCCTCCAGCTGTAGCCAGGGTGTCCCAGAGCTGGCAGCGCCTGCCATAGGACTGTGCCCCACTTTTGGTGGCTGGGCAGAACTCTACCGAAGATGGAGGTGCCACGCAAGGCGTAGCCACCAAAGCTGAAGACGTGTGAGTGGTCAGCGGTGACCACGGTGAGGGTGTCCGCCTCATCTGTCAGGGCACCCGCCCGGTCGATGGCCCGGTCAAATGCAATCCCATCCGTCAGCGCCTTCTGGGCTGCACCTTCGTGGTGGCCGTGGTCAATCCTGCCACCTGCAGAAGGGCATCCAAGGTGGACTGGGGACTAACGGCAGCACCCCAAACTCCTAACCCTATCCAGGGATGTGGGACCCCCCTCCTCTTGCCCACCCCAGGTAAGCACTTACCTTCCACAAAGAGGTAGAAGCCTTTGGGATTTCTGCTCAGGATGGTGATGGCAGCCTCTGTCATTTCAGTGAGCGATGGGTCCAAGGTGGTGTTACGCACCAGGTCATACTTCATGTCCATGGGTTCAAAGAGACCTGGGAGGGGACACATTGGGAACGGTCTCAATGCCTGCATGCATCCTGGTAGCTGTCAGATCCTGGCATATAGGATATTTGTTACCCATCAAGTAAGTCACGCTGGGGTCAGCAGCTGCAGCCAGCATCTCTGTCCTGTTCCAGACATAGCGGGCACCCTGTGGACAAATCCCACAGAGGGTTAGCAGGTGATGGACCCCATGCCTGAGGATGATGGGCAGAGGACTGTCCCTGCTGCTTTACCCACCGGCCGTGCCTCCAGCCACATGTTGATAAGGTTTTTCCCGTCCCCCCGTATCCCATTCTCTGTTTCATAGGCAGGATATTCGGGGTCCGGCGTCCCTGCAGGGGTCATGTATATCCTACCACCCCCCATGATAACCTGGAGGGGATGAAATGGATGTAGTGTCAGTGGGAGTGCCGGGGGGGATCTACCCTTGCTCCTTCCCTCCCATGCACAGGCACTCACGTTGATGTCAACATTGTGGACCATCTGCCAGGCGATGTCCTTGCAGCCTTGGAGACGGGCCTCCTCGGGTATGCTGACATCTGCATACCAGTTGCGGTCCACCACATGGGCATAGGCCCCCGAGGGCGATGCATGCTGCACCCGTGATGTCGTCACGATGCCCACCGCCTTCCCTGCGGCCCCCACACACATGAGGCCCCAGGAAGGTTGACATGGTATCCCCCACCACCAAGCCCCGGGATGCTCATGGCACAGCAGCCCCTGGTGTCACAGCCCTCATCCCCAGTGGGGTCCCTCCCAGCTCTGCACCCCCTGTTACCAGCTTTGCGGGCTCGCTCCAGCACTGAGACAACCTCATTGCCTGCCGTGGTGTTGCACTGCGAGAGGCGGGCAGCTGCACTCACTCCTGCTGTGTGGTAGTTGCCCTTAACCCCGCAGAGGTAGGCTGTGGAAGTCGATGCGCTGTCAGAGACAATCCGGTCCACACTGTACGTCTGCCAAGGACACATGCCAGGCTCAGAGCAGGGGACAGTTGGCAGAAGCACCCAGCGGGCTGTCCCCCTCCCAGCACCCCACACCACACTCCTTTGCTTACCTAAGGACAAGTGCAGGATGGGCAGGGACCCTGTGCACCCCATATGTGCATCTGTGTCAGCAGCCCCACTGACATCACCCCGGCCCCGTGCCCCGTGTGGTGGGAGTTTACCTTGGAGAGAGCCACATAGGGGAAAGAATCCAGGGCGAGGGGGGTCTCAGGGCCCAGCTTCCCCTGCTGCTGCCCGTTTAGAATGCGGGTGGCCGTGATGGAGGGGACCCCGAATCCTTGGTGAGAAGAGAGGGTCCCAGTCACCCTCTGGAGCAGGTGCCCTCCCTGCATTCTGCTCCATGGGGCACTGCTCATGCCAGCCTCTCTGCTGGGTGTGCCAGTGGGACTCACCATCTCCAAGGAAAATGATGAGGTTTTTGGCTTCGGTTACCCTGGGCTGCAGCTTGAAGGAGGCCTCAATGGCTGCGGCTGCCTGCCTGTTCCAGAAGGCTGGATCCTCCTCCTCCACTGGGACAGGGCAGTACCTGTCAGCCCCTGCTCACCAGCACCTCCATCCCTGTGGCTCCTGCATCCCTCGGGTACCCACATCCACTGGGGACTTGTTCCCTGGGCATCCACATGCTGAGGCCTCCTCCAGCATGGACTGAATAGCTCAGGGTACTGTTTGGGGTGGGGGTAGACCATGTGAGCTTGCACCCACTGCCTGCCCCAGAGATCCTCGGGCAGGGAAGGAGGAGGGTAGTAAAAATGGATACAATGGGGAGTTATCTGGCAGGTGGGATGGGGCCAAATCCATGGCAAGGAGGGGATGCTACAGCCACTTTCCCCAGACCCTTCCAGCCCAGAAACATGCAGAAACCTGATCCCACAGGGAAAAGCTGGTCCAAGAACCCCAGAAAAGCAGGGGTAAATCCATTAACCATTGCAGGGCTAGGAAGCGCCTGCTCCTCTCCCCAAACCCTCCTTGTGATCAGCCAGGCTGGTGCCCTGCTGGGTGCCCTGCTACAGCCAGCCAGGTGCACATCCCCATCCTTGTCCCCACCTGGGATGACAGCAGTGCTGAGCTCTGCCCGAAGGCCCAGGCAGAGGATGAGGAGCGCCGGGAGCTGCATGGTGAGATCCGGTAGCCCAGCACCGCTGGCAGTGTCTGCATTTCTAGCAGATCTGGGGAGGGACTTTGGACTGGTATCAGCCCTTGCAGGGTGTGTGGAGGTGTTCAGCATGTCCCCGATAGCCCAGTGCCAGGCATCCAGCACAAAGGCCATGGGCTGGGCTGCTGGCGCCTCTGTGGTGCTGCTGGGGTATGGACGGACTCGGGGCACAAACAGATGCAGGGGGCAAGAGGATGGGCAGTGCCTGGCAGGCATCACTGCCTGCCCAGCCTACAGTGCTGTGGTGCCAGGCACGTGGATGCCCTGGCACAGGGTGTCACAGGCAGCACTGAGCATTGGACCTGGGGCAACAAGGGTATTGGAAGCACCTGGGGTCACTCCTGTACCAAGCCCAGCACTTGTGCAATAAATCCATGGATGTGGACTAAAACCCTGCTCCTTGTTCAACCCTTGCAGAAAGGTACCAACACTTGCATACTGTGCCCCAGCCTGATAAAACTGGGGGGGGGGGAACATGGCCTCCTCTCACCCTTGTTTCATCACCCCCTTTACCCCAGCGCTTTTCAGTGCTGGTCCCAGGGAAACAACTAGGAGCCATCACCACCTGGGGAAACAGAGGTATGGGGCAATGCCTGAGGAGGTGACCACTGCTGCAAATCCTTGCACTGCAAATGGAGTCAAACAACTGTGTTTTATTGCATTCCTTGATCCTGGCCATGGTGGCGACTCGGCTGCCAAGACCCTTGATGGTGTGGCGAGGGGAGGGGGCAGGCAGCTGAAGTGGAGCTTGGCTGGGGGGGTCTCACTCTGAGCCCCCCACCACGTGGGCAGCCACACAGAGGGCCAGGAGGGCGAGCAGGGGCTGTGGTGCACACTGGGTGCCACGGGAGGCCCTGCGGGCTGCGCCACATCCAGGCTCAGTGGCGTAGGGCTCGAGGCAGGCGGCATAGGCCATGGCATGGGCGATATAGTGCTGCTCCTGCACCCCGTGGAAGAGGTGGGCCATGGGGCCCTTGGCCAGCACCACCACGTCCTCCCCGCTGTGGGTCTCCACCTCCAGGGGCACAGCTGCCTGCTGCCTGTAGTCCTTGTCCTCTGTAGGAGAAATGGGGCTGGGGGCAGCAGGCTCTCCTACCCATCTCAGGGATAGGCAACAGCTTCAATTACCCCAGCACTGGGGCAATTCATGCCCAAGTGACTCCTGAATGACACAGTACACAGGGACTCCATGCAGCTCCAGTGGCCATGCCTATGGGATGCTGCCATCAGCCACCTTGTGCCCCCATCCCATCCCATCCCGTCCCGTCCCGTTCGCAGCAGATTCCTACCTGCAGCGCGGAGGCTAGGGGACGGGCGGCCCCCATTGCGAATGCTGTAGCCAGGACCGTTGCCATAGAGGATGCTGGTGTAGGCTTGCTTGTCCTTGGCTTTCTTGGGGGCCAGCCCTGGCACAGGGAAAGACACTGTCACCTCCTGTCCCAGCCAGGTACCTCTCCCCAGCTACCCATCTCAGCTGGCTCAGCCTTCGGTGGGAGTAAAGAGGGAGATGGGAGCAGGGATGCTAACCACCTCTCCCTGAGACCCACCAAAAATGGAGGTGCCACGCAGCGTGTTGCCCCCAAAGGTGAAGACATGGGAGTGATCAGCTGTCACCACAGTCAAGGTGTCGGAGGGGGAGGTAAGCTCGCCTGCGCGAGCCACTGCCCGGTCCAGCATGACGGCTTCCATCAGTGCCTGCTTGGCCCGGCCACTGTGGTGGCCGTGGTCAATCCTGCCACCTGCACAGGGAACATGGCTATCACCCTCTTCCTGGTCCCCTGGGACACCCTGTGCTCCAAAGACCCGCATCCCACCCCAGCCTCAGCCACACTGCCCAGCTGAGGCTACTCAACTTCCACAAAGAGGAAAAAGCCTTTGGGGTTCCTGCGCAGGATGCGAATGGCCTTCTCTGTCATCTCCACAATGGAGGGGTCTGTGGAGGTGTTGCGGTTTAGCTCATACTTCATGTCCTTGGGCTCGAAGAGGCCTGGGGAAGTAGGGTGTGGGGACATCCGTGACGGGGCTGCTTTGTGCTCCTGCCAGCAACCCCAGAGCAAGCAGGAGGAGAGACTGCTGGTGGTGCAGGCAGTGATGCTCTTACCCATCAGGTGGCTTGTGGAGTCATCCTCGACTGCATCCATGCCCTTCTTGTCCCAGACGTAGCGGGCACCCTGCCAGTGGGAACAGAGCCGGTGCCAACAGCACATGCAGCATGCCTGGCACCATGTCCCATCCACACGGCTGTGGTACCTGCTTGGCATTCAGCCACTTGGCAATCAAGTCGAGGCCATCCCTCCTGGTGCCATTCTGAGCCGGGTCCTCTGGGTACTCGGGGTCTGCAGTCCACTTGGGGGTCATGTACATCCGCCCGCCACCCAGGATCACCTGCTGGGGAGCTCAGCAGACCCTCTCAATGTTCCCCATGTCCCCTCCCTCCCATGCTCGCTCCCCAACTCACATTGATGTCCGTGTTGTGCACCAGCTGGTAGGCGATGTCCTTGCAGCCATCCCGCAATGCCTCCTTGGGCATGTTGGCATCGGCGTACCAGCTCCGGCTGGCCGAGTGGGCATAAGCTGCCCCTGGGGATGCGTGCTGCACTCGCGTGGTCGTCACGATGCCCACCGACTTGCCTGCAGCGTGGGCAAGCATTTACAAAAGAGCCTGTCCAGCCCTGGGATGGCCATGCCATGTCAGGCTCTCCTTGTTGGGTTGCCTGCTGCTCCTACCTTCCAGCCTGGCCCGGTGCAGGACTGAGTCCACCTCGTTGCCAAAGGTACTGCGGCATTTGCCGTAGACAGCTGCCCCACTCAGCCCCAGCGTCTTGGCATTGGCCTTCACCCCACAGAGGTAGGCTGTGCCTGTGCCAGCGCTATCGGGCACCTGCCGGTCGATGGTGTAGGTCTGGAAGCAAGCAGGGGACAGTGGGGCTTTGTACAGGGGGCACCAGGGCCGCCCCCCGTGCTGCCCCACTCACCTTGGCCAGGGCCAGGTGGGGAAAGGCCTCCATGGCCAAGATACTCTCCTCGCCTGAGCCACCAGCCAGCTGCCCCTTGTAGATCCGAGCCGCCGACATGGTGGACAGCCCCATGCCTGCAGGAACCACAGTGTGGGATGGTAAGCGGCTGGGGCCTGGGACAGTCCTGGCCTCCTCTGGCATTGCCCCGTACCAGCTGGGGAGGAGAGAACCTGCACCAGCCCTGCCTTCTCACCAGCCATGTCCCCTGCCTGGCTGCAACCCGGGGGACTCACCATCACCCATGAAGAGGATAATGTTTCTGGCCCGCTGTGCCACTGGCTGCAATGCCAGTGCCGACTTCAGCCTCCTCCTGGCCCCTTCATTCCAGTAGCCTGGGGTCTTCTCGGCATCTGGAGGCAAGAGCAGAGCTGGGGATGTGCAGAGGCACTCGGCAGCCTGAGGGTCACCAGGGGCATCCCCTCCCTGGCACCAGGGTGTGCATCTCTACCCAAGGTAAATTCAGTTGCTCTGATCTCCCTCCATGGAGGCCTCAGAGGGTCCAGGAGCCCTTTGGGGATCAGCCTGGTCTTTGGAAAGCTCAGCATTGCCCAGAGCCCATCTGCAGAGGGGGAAACTGAGGCAGAATTTGGTAGGAAAGTTCCCTGGGCCTTTCAGGAGAAGGTCTGACTGGGGCATCAGCTCCCTGCATGAGTGTGCAACGCCTGAGCAACTGCAGCCAGTTGCGGCTATTGAGACACTTGATCCCAAGCCTGTCAAGGGCAAGAGGGCAGCGGGGCTGGGGGAACAGGGACAGGGCCTGCTTTGGTGGGGACTGAGACAAGCCCATTCAAAGGCTGGGGTCTCACACCACCCTGAGATGCCTAGGAGGGTTTGCAGTTGCTTGTATCCCCACAGGGAGGTGAATCCTCAGGGAAGTGACGCCAGCCCCGGCGCCCACCCCCCAAGGTCTCCTACCCCTTTTCCCCATGTCCCCTGTTACCTGAAGTTGCAGCAGCGGGCCAGACGAGGAGGCAGAGAAGAAGGCAGGTTCCAGGGAAGAGCGGACACCCCATGCTGCCCACCCCAGCTCTCTCCTGGAATGCTGCCTGCATCCAGGGCGGGGGACACAGCCCTTTATGGCCCTTTCCTGTCCCACAGGCGGGCCCCTCCACAGGTGAGACGATGAGGTGATAACATTGAGACTATCTCTCAGCCCTGCCCAGGGCCCTCCCAATGCCCCCAGCCCCCCTGGGGCCATCCCTGCCCCCCACCAGCGAGGGAGGACCTCCAGCCCTTCCCTGGGGACCAGAGCACCCAGTGGCCCCCAGCTCCCATGGGGCGGCTGCCTGCGGGACCCCAGGGAGCGGCAGGGAGGGTGCAGGGCAAAGTGCTGTTTTTGCAGACAGGCTGAGCTGGGCCAGGCTGGACTGGCCTTGTTTCCAAGGAGGGCGATATCTTGCCTTTGGTGTCAGTGTCCTCGGGTCCTGTCTCCCAGGGGACACAGTCCCACACTGCCTGTCAGGCTCTGGGACCAGTGCCCAACACACGGGGCACAATGGGGTAGCCTATGCCAGCTCATCTGCACAGCGAGGTAACCTGCTGCAGGCAGGGAATAGCCACATGTCACCAGCACCCAGTGAGGAGCAGGAGGAACAGGCTGCTTTCCCCAGCTCCCACCTCGGAAGGTAACATTCATGTGCGGTTGCACCAGGCCATCTGGAAGGATGCCACCAGCAGCACAAGCCCTGGGGACTGCAGGTGACCTTGATGCTGTTTGCCAGCTCCTAGAGAACGTGTTGTACCCAGCCCTGACCCATCCCAGGGTCCAATCCCCAAACTGAGCCAGGCAGCCCGGGTTTGGCCAGCTCCTGGCTCCTGTAAAGGGCAGATGTGACTGTGCCAGGGCCACATCTGTCACCACTGATGAGGTAAAGCAGGCCCCCCTCCCTGCCTGGCATGATGGATCCACTCCTTCACTTCAGACATCATCCCTCTACCAGCCGCTGCTTGTGGCTGCCCAGCCCTGCAGGGGTGATGAAGTGATGAAGTGGAGCATCAGGGCCCATGCCTCTGGAGACATCTTGCACAGTGTTGGCGAGGGACATGGGGATGGGGAACAGGCAGTGATGCCTGGAGATTTCAGAGGAGCTGGTTGGTCCATGAGGGGCTGGATGCTCTCTTGAGCAGCAAGAAGCAAGAACACGGGCTGCAGGGCCCTGAGGGAGGTTAGACTGGAGGCCAGGGTGTGAGGAGCTCAAGCAGACACCCAATGACTCATGGCGAAAACTCAGACTGAGGGATTAGCTGCCAGACCAGGAGCCTGAAGCACACATCAAACTGATCCCCCGTGCTCTCCAGCCAAGCACATCCAGGGATGGGTGAGGTGTCAAGGCCACTTGAATTTCATTCAGGGAATCGGCAGGCAGGGGAAGGCATGAGGCTGCCCGGGAGATGTTACTGCTGGGATTCATGGCTGGGGCAACATGGAAGAGACAAAATAAAACCTGCACAAGCTCCCCATGCAGCTGCTGACCCAGCTTTTATTTCACGATACACAACCCTGTGAGAAACCCTCCTGCATGGCCCCATGGCTGCTTCCCACTGCATCCCACCTGGTTGGAGATGGAGCCAGCCCCTCTCCTCTCCTGGGGACACACATCCCCACCTGGCCCTCACCACGGGCACCCATGATAGCTGGGAATGAAAACCACTGCCTTAAAAACCAAAATCAAGCATCAAGCTAAAACACCCGAGAGCAGAAACGCCCTCGCCTGTGGCAGGCTCAAGCCCTGAGCCCTGCTCCCGGCCAGTTAAAATACGAACCAGAAATAAAATGGCATCGTTTTTTAAACTGAGAACCCCTCAGTGGGGGTTCTCCTCGTGGATCCCCTATGTCCCAGCGGGTGCCAGTGCGGGGCCTAGGAGGTGAGGAAGCGCTGGCAGTGGGAAGCACACACAGTCCAGGGTGCTCACTTCTCCGAGCTCCGTCTCTTGAGCAGGGCGCTGTACTTGAGAGGGACACCATCTGACCTCAGCACCACCTCCACCAGCGTGAAAATGGTGATCACCTTTAGCAAAGGACAGAAAAAGGGAGAGAAGAGATGGTTTTGGCATCACACCAGGATTTGTTTAGAGCTGTGCTGGCTTTTGCTGACTCAGCTGCAGCACCCATCAGGAACTGGGGACCGGGGCAGGACAGTTTCAGATAGCTCTGCTGAGGTCCAGGGTGCTCCTGGGGTTGGACACAGCATCTTCAAGGGCAACACCACCAGGCTGCAAAGCCAGTCGGGGAACCCAAACCCACCTAAATGGGCCTCCAGAAACATCCTCAATTATTCCAATGTGATCAGGCCCCACTCTCGTTCTCCAGAGAAGCATGGATGATTGTGCCCTTGGGTTTGCATTCCAATCTCACCTAAAGCCTGCCCCTGTCTCTCTTCTCCAGCTGGAGAACGCCCATCATCCCTTAATGAAGCAACTTCATGCGCATTCCTGTGCAACCTGCTCTTGGTGGCCCTGCCTTGGTGGGGGGTTGGACTAGACGATCTCCAGAGGTCCCTTCCAACCCTAACGATTGTTATTCTGTGACCTTGCCCAAGCACCAACAGTAACCTGTGGTGAGAAGGGTTTCCCACATCACACTGAGCATCCGACAAAGGAACAACTCTCCAGTGCTCCCACAGTGAGAAGGGAAGGGAGCACGATGGAGAGAGAGAGAGACACAAGAGAATAAAGATCTCAGAAAATCAATCCCTCCTGTTCAGGAATGCGCTGCTGCCTGCTGCCACCTCCCCGCTCCCTGACTGTGCAGATTAAGAAGCATAAAGTATTGATCATGTCTATCCACAATGAACAGTTAATGGCTGGCAGGGACACTGGGAACGGCCTGCCCTGGGGCCGTGGCCAGGCATTTGTGGACTTCACTTACTGGAGCCTGTCCTCAAGCCCTGCACTGGAGCAGGGCTGAATGGGGCCATCTGCTAGGGGCTAACCCAAAGGAGAAGTGGGCACAGAGCCAGAGCTGTAACCTTGTCAAACCCTTCCCACCTCATCCAGTGCAGATTAATCATTCAGAGCAGCGAATCTCATTGAGACTTAAACCTATCACAGTGGCCAGCGAGGAGCAAACTACAGGGAAATCCTTTTGCAGATGGCTGCCCAGATAGCTGCTGGCTACCTAGCACCCTGCTTGGCTCAGCTGGCAGCAGTGTAGGAGGTGGAGGCCATGGGGCAGCCCCCCACATCTGAGGGAGTTAAACGGGCATTATCAGGGCTCTCCCTTGCAACCCTGCCTTGTCCCTTCCATGAACTGCTGGGGAACAGCATGATTTCACACCAAATCCCCTGAGTCTTAGATCCACTTCATAGTCAAGCCCTAAGTAATGCACACTGAAGTCCTGACCATCTCCTGGAGCTTGTGGAGAGATGAAGCCAACACCTCCCCTCTGTGGCAGGTCCAGCCAGCCCAGACCCCTGCACAGCTTCCCACAGCCTTCCCCGATGCTCCCACTGCCTGGCCATGATGAGCCAAGAGAGGAAGTAGAGGCCAAGTGTCAGTGTCAGGGTCAGGCAGGGAGCAGGGAGTGCTCAATGCTTTGGGGTGTCCAGGTGACATCTCCCATGGTTCAGCCCAGCTCCAGGGGATCCCACGGTTGGGGATTTACCAACTTGGGAATCTATTTGCTCAGAGGACAGTGCAGAACCTGCTCCCAGGGGAGGGCTCCAGTATTTTCTTAGAAGGTGTGGAGGGTTCACGGAGGAGTTGCCTCTACTGCTGAGTGTTTGCTTAACCAGAATGGGCCCTGCTCATGCTGGGGCATCATTTTTCATATGGGCCCCTGCTAGGGAGTAAGTGATACCCGCTCTTGGAGGAAAGGAGGAACCAAGGCTACTTCGGGCTGCATCCTGGGGCCTTCTCTGAGCCCAGCTGAGAAAGGAAAGCTGAGCTTCAAAGGGAGGGAGTCCTGCAGAAATGCCTGCAGCAGCTGGGGAGTTCTGCTGGCTCCGAATGGACGTCTGGGAAGGAAAGGACTCCCAGGACACGCATCACATAGCTGGGAGGGTCAGCCTGACCCTGTATTGGGACTCCTTTTTACCCAGCCCTAGGTGAAGAGGGATGGGTTGTGCTGGGCTTGCTTGGAAATGGGGTTCATGTGTAGAGCTCCTGGAGTGGAGCAGGGACAGGCTGGAATCCAGCACTCCCATCCCCACACAGGCAGTAGGCAGGGATCACAGCAGTCAGCACAGCTGTGATTTTATAGTGATGCCAGACAGAAGTTGGCAAAGAAGCACCACTTAATCAAGCCAGACAAATGTGATTGCTCCCTTTGATTGAGTTACCAAGTTAATAGATAACAGGGACACAAGAGAGAGATTTCTAGATGCTGTTAAACCATTTGACACTGCATCTCAGGAATTCTGACTTAAAAAAATTCTTCCTATTCGGGTCTCAACCCTGTCACAGGGATATAAACACAAAGGAAGGATTGTGCCAGTGAGGAGGCAAGGAACACCAGGATGGGAGGAAGGTGCTGCTTTAGGCCTGATCTTATTTAACATCTTAATTGATGATCTGGAAGAAGGAAGAAAACAGCATGTTAATTCAGTTCCTGGAGGAACCTGAATTGGGAGACAGGGCACACAGCAGGCAGGGCAGAGTCTAAGGGCCACGAAGGGGTCAGATGAGGGGGCAGTGATGGGAT